CTATTTCTAGATTTATGTTGCTGTATACACGGAGGCTGGAAGACTTGGGAACACTTTTGGAAAATCAGGACATACAATTATGGTTTGGTTTTAGCTTCATTCATTAATTCAACAAATGTTGTTGGTTGAATCTCTCCTGTGTAGTGACTGTTGCTGGCATTAGTAAGACTCATGGTTGAGCCAGTGTGGGACATCAAAGGGAATTGAAATTTTGCTCTGAATAGGGGAAGACAATTCATTCTCACATTCACCTATTTCCTGTTTAGACAAACTGTCCTCTCACACCTTCTCCATCTCCCTGGTCACACACAGCACTGCTTAGGAGAGATTCTGATGTGCAAATTTCTGAACCCAAGTACCTCCATCCACCATTTCCTAATACTGGACAGGCCATTAAAGCCAGGAGCCAATAAATTCCCTCTTGTGAACCTCAGGTGCCTGGATTGTCACAGGAGGGTCACATGATCTGCAGGCTGTCACCCTGAAAATGGATGTGAACCTCAGGAGTCATTATTAGGAGTTATCTTGCTGTTTGGACTCTCACTGGCCTGGGCTGGCTGGCCAGCAAGTCCCGGGGATCTGCCTCTACCTCCCCATTGCTGGGATTACAAGTATACTCCAGCATGACCAGTTTAGGAGGTTTGGAGGCTTCTAGGAATCAAACTCAGGTCATCTCGTGTGTAAGCACTTTACCTACTGAGCTACCTTCCCAGCTCCGGAGAGCATGAGTTTTAAAGGGCAGATTTTCCTACTGTGGTATTCCCACACAGCACAGTAGGTACAGAATCACAACACATGGGGCCTGAAGGGCCTTCAATGCTTAATAAGGTATAAATACCCACAGCAGTACACCCAGTCATGTCAGGGAAAAGCCCCTGAGACCATCTGTGAGTTTCCTTGTCTCCTGGGACAGAAGTGCACCCAGACTCATGAATATTTAAATCCTCCTGCTCATTTGTTCTCAGTTTATCCCTGATTCCTGATAGTTCTCTTCCCATTTTGCAAGGGTATGAAGTGGGGCTCATGGGGTCAAAGGAAAGACCCATAAGTGCCCATAAAGTGCATCTCCTTGTCACCCGGGTCTCCTTTTGACAATAGGAAGTATAGTAATGGTATCTTAACCATCACCAAAATTTTATCCCAGGCTGGCCTTGAACTTGCTATGTAGCCAAAGATGCCTTTGAGCTTGAGATCCTCTTAGCTTATCTCCTGAGTGCTGGGATTACAGGTGTGCTCCACCATACCCAGTTTATGTGGTACTGGGGACAGAGCCCAGGACTTTGTGCATGTTAGGTAAGTAGTCTATTGACTTTGCTACATCTCCAGCCTAGTTTCCCATCTTAACCACTTTTTAGCGCTTTATATGTGTCGGCTTATCACATCTGCCAACAGCCCTTTGAGATGGAGACTGTTAGTATCAGTGGCTTCCACAGGTGAGCAAACAAGGTGTAAGGGATGTAAACAGTGTGCTTCCAGTAACCCAGGTGGTCTGTGCTGGGTTCAGGATTTACTCTCATCTCACACCAGCCCTGTACTCTTGCCTATGGCACTCCGGGCCTCACAAGGCACAGGAAATAGCCAAGTGGTGAGACTCGGAAACCCTGGACTCTTGTCTGAAGTTCATCCTTGCAGCAACAGAAGGACCCTGGACAGGTTATGTCACCTCTTTGAGCTTGGGTTCCCTTTGCTGTAAAAAGGGCAGAATAACGGCTGAGCACTGAATGCAATTGGTCCCCAGCATAAGTTCATTCCCTTTCCTCCATGGGATCTCATTGCATAGGGACTGAGGAGGGTATCTTCAATGTCACATGGTGTCACAGAATCCACAAGTATGTACATGAGAATTGGAGTCGCCCATGGAAGTGTTGGAGTTTTAGTCCACAAGCTCAAGTGCCACCAGATTCTACCTCTTAGGACCACGTGCACTGTTCCTTTAAGGGACACCATGGATGTTGTGGTTTCAGGTGGCAGTCTTGATGTTTTCCCAGCAAAGTTAATGAGATGTGGCTGGTATGCTCCCTGCACCTTCCTCCTTGCACACAGCCAGGCTGGCAATTCCACGTGCTCTCCCATGATCTATTTTTATACCATCACATAATAATTCATCCCCCTAGATATATCCGTCATGCCAGATTTGCATTTTTTTATTAAGTTGCCTGCCTGCCTCTCAGTTTAATCAGTGTTGACTCCAATCTGAGAGAAGCAGCCTGACAAGACGTGGGTCCAAGTGCAGCCTCTGGTGGCTTTCCTACTTTGTGACTTGGGGTGATCTCTGCCTAGCCCAGGACCTGCGGGCTAAGCATCCTCAGGCAAGGCAGAGCAGCAAGCTGATAGACTGAGACAGATCAGGCCTGGCCAGCCCTTCCTTGACGTGTGGCCTTGGACCCAGGATTTAACCTAACTACACATCAGTTTAGAGAAGGAACAATCTATGCATTAGATAATTATACCACATTCCTGGTCTATGTGAGGATTCCTTTCAGTGGATCCCAACTAGTGGTGATTTGCCTTTGGGGAACATTTTTGAGTGACACCATTGCAGCTGTGGAGTGTGTATGCTATTTTCATCAAGGGAGTAGAAAGAGGCCAAGGGTACTGCTGCACATACCACAATACATCAGGCATCCTCTACAATGTAGACACAGCCATCCCAAAATAGCAACAGAAATTCTCATAGACTAACACTATGCACATAAGTTCCTGACACAGTGATTGGAACCTAAGGGTCTACATTGAATAAGGCTGGCAAGGTCTGGACAGAGTGATAGAAGTCTCACTGTCAGCCACAGCACTGGGATGGGATCTCAGATGCTCCTTCCCCTTTGGTCCCCCTCACCCACTGTCACAACCCACCTCCATCAAACACCGGTTCCCTTTGTCAAATGTGTCACCTGGTCTTGCTCACCCAACTGCATGAAAGGCGTTTGCCTGACCCCGTTCTTAACTATCTCCGTGTTTAGTGCTGTGGTCACACAAAGGACTTACTCCATTCCAGTTAGTGAAGTCAGCTTCTGCCTTAGAGGTGACTGGCAGCTTGCTTTCTGAGTATGGTGGTAGGGTGGTAGAGATACATCCATGTAGGAGTCCAGTGTTCAAGGAGGGTGGGGCTCTAGTGTGAGGCACTGATGAGCGACAGGACTAAAGAGGTCCATCCTCCCAGGTCCAACCTCACAGAAAAACACATTGAAAATGAATGAGTGGCTTGTCTCTGGATCGGACCCCTGGAGAGTGACTATTCTCAGAACCGCTGTGTGCCATTCCCAAATAGCTGCAAGGTCCTGTAGGCATCACATGGCTCCTGTGTTTGTCTTGAGCAGAAACAGACATCTAGCTAGATATAGGCAAAAGCTGGGCCAGAGCTCACAAACACATTGTAAAGGGTGTTATGTCCTAGCAGAGAGCTTGATACAGCAGCATTGCTCAATAAGGTGTAAATGTCCTAAGGTTTCCCCACCTTCCTCAGGGAAATGCCCTTGAAAAACAACAACCCTGTCCTTACCCCCTGGCACCCAGATGTACCCCAACCTCTGAATGCTTAACTTCCACTGCTGGCAGGTCTCCTGATCCATGGCTGTACACTCCTTATTTTACTTTGAGATAGGGTGGGAACAGAAACTGCACAAGTGCATAGGGCATGACTCCTTGCTACCCAGGTCCCCGTTTTCACAATAGTAATGACTATAGCCAGTAGTAATTATAATGGGAATGCTAATAACAGCGTCTTCTACTGACTGAGCTTTTATCAGATACTTCTCAGTGCTTTGCTCACTTTAATTCCTCACATCTCCCATTAGCCCTCTGAGGTGGGGTCAGCTACTATTCCCATCTGACAGAAAAGCAAACCAAGGCAAGTGAGAAAGCATGCTTCAGGTAACAGCGTCTGTGTGCGTGTCGGGTCCAGGATGTACACCCACTAACTTTTGCCCCCAGTCCCTGAAGCCTTACTCACTTCAGGCCTCTAGAAATACAGGGAAGCAGGGTGACCTGAAGTTCATCCCCATACCAGCAATGGGACTGTGGGCAAGTTACTTCGCCCCCTTAAGCCTGGGTTTCCTTGTTTGTGAAATGGTTGGAAGTACTGCACAGCGCTGAAAGATCTGCCTCCCGGTACATGTTGGTTCCCTTCCTCCATGGGATCCAGTCTGCAGAGAACTGAGTAGTTCATCACAATGCCATGATGCCTAGAAACCACAATCCAGCACACACTATACCATGGACACAGGCATCCTGTGCTGTCCACCTCCCATCAAGGTGATGTCCTTTACTTATTGGTATTTTTCCACACTGCTCTGACAGAGTGCCCATACCAAAACCAGTAAGGCATAAATCCCTGCACCACCAACTGCTTCATTAGATAGGGAAGGAAAGGACACACCTAGATGCATCTATCTGTACACAACGAGACAGAGGAAGGCAGCTATCCCAGTCACAAGACTTCAACTAAAGCTCTTAAAAATTGGCTCCTCTTTCCATGAACCTTTAAGTGACAGACCCAGGAACATTATGGTGGAAAGGGCTTCCCCTTGGAGTCTCTAGTCCAGTTCTGGAGCTCCTGGAGGCTCCATCTCAGTCCTTTCTTTCCCTGTGGCTCCCTGTAGGACTCATGGGCTCTCCCTCCCTGGAGCCATGTCCACCTTCATGGCCAATCTCCATGACATCACCACAGTGTCCCTGAGTCGAAGTTCTGTGAGGCATCTGAGGGGTGTTGACTAGGTTGGTGGCAGAGGGCAAACAAGGAATCTGGAGTCAGGAAACCAGGACTGGAGCTCTGATTGCAGGGAGTTCCCAGAGTCCTTCAAGCCTCTGAGCCTTGGTTTCCTTTTTGGTTACGTGGAAGCAAGGGTCTCTTCTGCCATGGAAATCGGATGTGATAAAGCCTGCTTGACAGTGTCACATTAAGCGTGAACAGAAAGGGAGATGTTATCCAGTGTCTCACTCATGAGGTGAAAATCCTCTTGAAATTAAAGATTATGTTTTCTGCCTCCTGCAGAGCCCCAGGGGTGTCTGTGGTGTACAGATGTCATGGCCCTGTGTCGCATCTACATGTTACTGCATTATGAATTTGGAATGTAAGTTGTGTTGATGTACAAAGGTGGACACAGATTTAGTTCTCCTTTCTGTCTCTCAATCCTGATGTCTTTTTTAATTCCCATTTCAATGTGTTGGGATCACAGGGTTGAGATTTCGTTTTTCATTCCCAATGCTGTGTGTTGGTTTCATTGGTGCTTTAAGAGACCTAGAGAATAAATGAATTCAAACAAATACACAATTGCTTGTAGAAAAGATACAGAACAGACATCAAATGCAAGTGAACTCAAACGGGGGCACACCTGGGCACTTTTTTAAAAAGCAGATGGATGAACGGGGGGCACAGTATGGGTGAAAAAAGGCTGGGGAAGTGCTCAGAGGGCTGCAGGATGCAGCCGCTGTGGAAGCTCAGGCTGCAACCCACACGTAGAACACAAGAGGGAGAGGCAGCTCCACTCAGAGCCAGCAGGCGGGCTCCAGCCCCCCCCAATCCAGCTCACCTATGACCAAGGTGGTACTAATAAAGTTTTTGTTGAAAGCCGACTGTGGCCTATGGACTTCAAGCCTCTCTGTGCTTTTCCCCTTGGTTGTGAAACAGTCGGCTCCAGGGACTGAGTGGCTGAGAGAAAACAAACACCAATGGTATCTTTCTTCTACTTCCTTCTCAGGGGAGAGAGGGCTGGAGGCAGACTAGAAAAGGAGGATGCGCACAGACAGTATGAAAGAATGATGCTTTGAGACACGTCACAGTGAGGACAGGACGGAGGGTGGGCTGGACTCTCGCTCCCTGGGTGCTGGGCAATGACTTGACATCAAATCAGAATCCAGGGCCTCCTGGGTTGGGTACCCTCCTCCCCCTGGGGCTCACTTTGTTTAGGTAAGTGAGGATGTTCATGTGGTATCTTTAAACACATGCGCTAGATTAAAGGACTCTCAGGATCAAAGTGGCTGTGGACAGACATGGTTTAGAAGCCTTTCTTTGGTCCAGTGGGGAGGGATTCACCCATGTGACTCAGAGACTAAAGGGAGGTATGTCTCATTAAAGTAAACAAAATCAAAGTTAAAGGCAACTAATTCCATACTACAAGGCAAGGACTCATTATAAACTTTTTGTTATTGAAAAATGGATCAAAGGTAAAGTAGTTTAGTGTTGTGAATTGCATTGCTCACATCACACCAGCCAGCATTTATTGAATGCCTACTGTTTATATCATTTCTTTTTGCTATTAGCATCCTGTGTAGAGGGTAGTAGAGAATCCATGGCTGCCCAGTCACAAGTGCTGGGTGGAGAGAGGGTGAAATTGCCTCCTAATGGGGCAGACACACAGCTCTAGCTCCTTAGTCCCAGCTCTCACCTGTACCCATGTTCATACAGATTAGGAAGCGAGAGATACCTGGTCTGCATCCTTGACAGCAGGGCTTTCTGGTAAAACGATGGCAGCTGAGTCTCTGGGTTGGAGCAGTAAGGAACAGGATAAGGAGTGGAGGAACCCCTATCTTCCTTAAGGCAGGGCCCCAGATCTCCAGGGATGGCAGAGAGTCCCCATTACTGCAACCTTAGGAACCAGAGATGACTCATGAATTCTCCTCAAACCTCTGGCAAGGCACACAGCCTCCAACCACCCAGGCAGGGTGCCTGCCCCTGAGTAGAGATGGATACAGGGACTTATATTCTAGTAGGAGCAACAGATACTTTACAAAGAGACAAGACAATTTACCAAACATGAGGAGAGGGGAAGCATGCGGTGGGGCAGCTGGGGGTGGGGGGGAGTAGAGGTGCAGATGGAGGTGGAGCAGCCAGCCAAGGCCTCTCTCAAGAGGTGACATAGAGGAGCTATGGTGCTGGGGCTCTTTTCCAGGCAGAGGGAAACGGCATGAAACTCTACCAGAGCAGCTTGGCAGGGCTGGGGAGCAGGAGGAGCTTCTGGTCAGGCCCCACGTGACTGGTCCTGGGTGAGGTCTTGAGCTGCCTTCCACCACCACCAAAGGCAGTCAGTCACACAGAGCCCCATCCCTACAGACTGAGCCTGGGGGAGGGGGTGACATAGGAAGGGGAAGAAAGCGAGCAGGAGTCTGCATGTCTGACAAATACTGGGTGATCTCCAATCCCCCGGCTCTGCCCTCATCCTGCTCCAGCAGATGGTGACATGGGGTTAATGACCAGAATCCTAGATTCCAACTCATTTTTGTCCCATTAACTGGGCATTTATGATTTGGTCAAGGTCAGTGTCAAATTGAAGCAGCAGCAGCAGCAGCAGCAGAAACAGAAAGCCTCAGGAATGAGTTAGCACAAATGAGGAAATAGCACAGAGATGTTGCTCAGTTTCCTGAAGGCCACACAGCAAGTTGAGCCCATTCCAGGTCGGGCCAATTGACAACTGAGTGCTGAGGGTCCAGTCAGTGTGGACTGGACTCTGTAGTTCTCATCTGGAAAGCAAAATGAACACTAGATAAGGCTTTCATAAAGTTCCCATTAAACGAATGGCTTTGCTCTATGTTCCTTCCTGGTATGCCCTTTGTGGCAAATTATTTGCTGAATATCCACAGAAGAAAGCAAAGAATTGAGACTAGTTATGGTAAGAGGTGCTTGTTTATAAACCTGTCCGAAGCAGAGATGCACTCACTGTTCTCTAGCTGTTGATCTTTAACCTTTCTTACCACAATGAGGAGAGAGGCAGAAACGCTGCACACGACAACCACTATGAGTATGAAATAATAATGCTATTGGCATCTTAGAAAAGAAGGTTTGTCTTGTTGTCTTCTAATTAGGGGTAGTGACCACAGAGCCAGTATCTAGTATGTGTTAAGTAGCAAATTAGCTCTGGAGTGATTGTAGGGCTCAGCCTGCCTAACTGTCTGTCACTCTCTTCAGAGGCAGGAGGTGGCTGCACTCTGCTTTTGAGCCTCCTAGAGTGGGGTTCAGAGCAGTTCCCAGGATCCCCAGGGTTGGAAGAGAGCGCCCCCTCCTGGCGCCTCAGAGCAGCAGCCTCAGCATCACAGAAATTCACCCACACATTCATTTGTTTATTCCTAAGTGAACAGACTTGCCATAGCAAAAATCTGGGCACATGGGCTAATAGGGGGTTAAATTGCCTAATTTGCACATGAATTTATCTGGAAAGTTCTTTGATGTTTAGCTGTACACTGCACAAAAAGACCATAATTATTCGCAATTAGGGCAGTGCCTAAAAACGGCCAAATAGACCCACTCTAAACCCGATGCCTGTGCCTTTTACAGGCACCCCCAGAGCAAAGCAAATAGTACTGGAAATCCAACTGACGCTGCGAATGTTTAACCAACTCAACAGCACAAAACATTTTTAAGCATCATACAATATCTGATGTTTGTGTGTAAACCATGGTGCTAATTGCAACTGAGTCTTACCAATTAAAGAGGGTCCTTAAGAAGAGCCGTGCAGGAACATTTTATTAGCTGTAATGTGGAATAGCTCTCTATGCCAGAAAATGATATGCAGGGCAGTAAGTACTGAAAAACGGCATCTAGCTCGGCAGCTTCAGGTTCAGTGCTGGCACCATGATGGTCTGTGTTCTTGTTGAGTGTGGGCCCATGGACTGCATCTTCTCGTTCAGACATGCTTGAGGTTGACTGCCAGCTGTTGTACATTTTAGCTGTGAGACTACGAACACCAACGTTCTCTATCCTCTGCTTTCTCCTCTGTAAAAATGGGCTCAGCAGTGCCCTTGACATCTGATGGATCCATGAGTGTCAAGCAGAGAGCTCAGTGGCCTTCAATGAGAGCCACCCTTGGGACAATTCTCCTCAGGTCCCCACCTACGCAAAATGTCCAGCTCGTTTGGGACAGCTTTAGTCAAGAAGGCTTTGAAAGAATCTTTAGGCCATGGGCAGGAAGCAGAGGATAAGGGAGACTTAGTTTGACCTTGGCCTTTGAGCCATGCAGTGCTCAAGGCAAATAGCATCTTTTAGAGCTTTAAATGGGTCCCCAATCACCTGGAAGAGAACACCAAACATCAACAAAGCATGTTCTCTGAGAGTTCATCAAGACAGTGCTAATTGCTAAGTGTCTAAATTGTACAGACACTTCATGATCTTTATCTCATTTCCTTTGCACAGCATCCTGGGAAGGAGGCATTATAAGCCCCACTGTGGAGGAGGGGAAATGGAAGTTCAGAGAAGTTTAGCCACTTCATCCAAAGTCACAGAGTAATAGGAGGCAGAGCAGATTGGAGATGCAAATGCAGGTCTGTGTGACTGTACCACAGTACCCTGCTGTGTTATGCTTGGGATCCTCGGTGATCTGTGAATGGGTTTACAACGTGGGGTGGGTATAATGAGAACCACTCTCAGATCCATCTCTGTACACAAGAGAAAACATGTCTGAACTAAGAGAAACTGATTCTAGGGAAAGAGGTTTCCTGGGGAAACAGATGTGAGCTATTGGGAAAGTGATAGTCACAGCTCAGGCAAGGGTTGGGAGCTCATCTGAGCTGTGGCACGGAGACCTGTATGCATGTTTCTGTCCCACTGGACCTTGAGGTACCAACAGTCCAACATGTATTTAGTTCACCTTGTTTTCACAAGCCAACATAGGGACTGGTACAGAGTTAAAGGTGAGCACACTTATAAGGTTGGTGAGGTAAATCAGGGAGCCTTCCTGAAGTGGGGGGTGGGGTGGCCTGGACTGTGGAAAAGACAGCAAGGATGTCACCTGAGGGGAAAAAAAGACAGAGATCAGCTCTACACATGAGAAGACCTGGTGGTGGTGGTGGGTAGAGGACATGGGGCATAAATGCTTGCTCTCTTCCTGTATTTGGGAGAGAATTCCTTTTTAAAAACCTGTTTTGGACACAAACACTCCTGAGATGAAGTCCTGGGTCCCACCTCACTGCCTGTGTAACTTGGACACAGCCTTTTGTTTTTGCAATCCTCAGTTTCTTCTTCTGTACAATGAAGATGAAAACAAGCACTGACCTGTCAAGGTAGTACAGAGGGATTCTTGGGGTGCTGAGGCTTAATAAATCATGACTTGGTTTTGGTTCCCTGCTTTACTACCCTGTGTCCCCATCGAGCTCACCTGCAGGCATGGTCTGGGACCCTTGGATGAGCACAGGCAGACTAATCAGGTTTTGTAGTATATTTTCTTCTCATGGCTCTCCTCTTTGGATTCCTAATCAGTAAACCACCCAGGCCATGCCATGAGTCGAGTCACCTCAGAGTGCATCTGGCCATTGTTAATGGAAGCAGGATGAGCAGGAGACCAGGTGGGGTAGAAGGAGACTTTGGAGTGGCTATCACTCTAGAAGGTTGTGCTCTAAGCTACCTTCTCCACCATCTACTTAAGACTGGTATGCCCTGGACATTCTTGGTACTCCAAGGCACCTGCTTCCCTGTGGCTGTCTCAGCCTACAGAGTGGCTCAGCTTGGCCACTCAAACTTTCTGCTCCTTTCTTCCTGATGGAAATTCATCACCGACCCAATAGGTGCCAGCCACTTGATCCCTGGCAAGGGGCAGGCAGGCAAGCCACACCTACCTACCACAGCAGGGGCCTGCCTGCCAGGGGATTTTCAGAAAGCAGGAGGTAGGAGGCTGAGAGCCCAGTCTGGCTCTTACCTACAGCTCCAGCTGTGTTTCCATCTGGCAAATGCTGGGGCAGAACACACACACACACACACACACACACACACACACACACACACACACACACAAATGGAATGGAAAACAGCCAGTCCTACCTGGCACCCAGCTGTCTTTCTTTGTTAAACACAGAAACTCCTGACAGCCATGTGGGGGTGGGGGCTACCTGTTGCTCTTTCTCTGGGGCTCCTAGGGGCACCCAGGTTTTGGGGTCTTCTGAGAGGCTTATTTCTATTTGCCTGAGGTTTCTCCCTCCAGCCTCCCTCCAACAGAGACCCTATGGGTTTAAATCGTTTCCCTTCCTGCCTTCTTTTCAGCATTTCTCTTCTGGAGACCCCAGGCTGGCTCTGATCCCAGTACTGATGCAAAGAACCCTTGCTTATATCCCACACCCAGCTCACCTAGTTTAGTAACCTCTTTCCTGCAACCCGTGGGGGCAGGGGGTCAAGTTCTCTCTCTCAGGAAGTGAATGACTATCTTGAGAAGCCCCCCAGCTGCTCCCTACAAAAAAAAAAAAAAAAAAAAAAAGGCTAAGAAGAAACTTTCCCCCGGTCCCCAACCCCCATCTACCCTCCTTCCCGCGCCACATTCCCCCTTCTAACAGCTCGACGAAAGAGGAGGTGGAGGGAAGGCTGGTTCTCTCCGCGCTTGGGGGGTCTTCCCGTGCCTCCCGGGAGGCGAGGAGCACTGAGCCCAAGGAGCCTCCAGCATCCCTGCCTCTCCTCTGGGAGGCGGAGCGCAGCCTCTTCTCCCAGGCGCCAGCCACAGCCGGCATTTGGAATTCTGCCCCCAAACGGGGGGCCGGAGAAGGAGGAGAAAAAGCAGGGACAGAAGCTGGTGGCGAGAATCGCCACGGCCAGAGTCCAAGGCATCACCAGGAAAGGAGCCGCGGCTGGGATGCTGCGCCGCGGCGCCCCACCGCACTGCATCAGCGTGGCTGCACTGACATCCCCCCCCGCCCCCCATGCTTAACACGGGGCATTATGCGCTGGTTAACAGGCTCCGAGCTGCTCAGCGACTTGTTTTAAGCATTTTCTCTCTCGCTCTCGCTTTTAATCTTGTCTCCAGTGGCGTGTGTAGGGGGGAGGACTTTATTTCCATTGGCTAAGCGCTCCCTTCCCACCCACATCCCTTCCACATCACCTTGGTGTCTCCCTAAATAAAACCAGCCCTCCTTATCGCCTGGAAAAAATCAGGAGCTAGAGTTTGAATGGGTTTTATATAAACACTCACCCCTTGTCAGCGTGCGGCCAGGCTCTCAGGATAAACTCCCAGTGTCTGGCCTGACGCCTGCCTGGCGTGCGTTCTCTGCCTTGAACAAGGTTTAAGCAGAATCCCGAGAACTGGGAACTCTTTCCCTGAAATTTGATCAACCTGAAGCCAGTTTCGGAACTGCACAGGGTCCCGATGGACCTCAAGGAGAGCCCTAGCGAGGGCAGCCTGCAACCTTCCAGCATCCCGATCTTCGCCAACACCTCCACTCTCCATGGCATCCGCCACATCTTCGTGTACGGCCCACTGACCATCCGGCGCGTGCTTTGGGCAGTGGCCTTCGTGGGTTCCTTGGGCCTGCTGCTGGTGGAGAGCTCCGAGAGAGTGTCCTATTATTTCTCCTACCAGCATGTTACCAAGGTGGATGAGGTGGTAGCCCAGAGCTTGGTCTTCCCAGCTGTGACCCTCTGCAACCTCAATGGCTTCCGGTTCTCCAGGCTCACCACCAATGACCTGTACCACGCTGGGGAGCTACTGGCCTTGCTGGATGTCAACCTGCAGATCCCGGACCCTCATCTGGCAGACCCCACGGTGCTGGAGGCCCTGCGACAGAAAGCCAACTTCAAACACTACAAACCCAAGCAGTTCAGCATGCTGGAGTTCCTGCACCGTGTGGGCCATGACCTGAAGGATATGATGCTCTACTGCAAGTTCAAGGGGCAGGAGTGTGGCCATCAAGACTTCACCACAGTGAGTACTTAGTTTTCAGCTCACTCTTGTGCTTGATCTTTGGCAGAGGTGGTGCACCGGTGGCCTGCTTGGCTTGAGGTCTGACTGTGATTTGCAGCAGGAGAGAGCAGAGTCCCAGCTAAAGGCCTCTAAGAGGGTAACTAGCAAGAGTTGTTGGAGCAGGTTGTAGAAAAGGTTACCTTCCAGATGCAGCACTGTGGTTCTTTCAGATCCGAGGGTTGCAGGGAGCTTGCTGTGGGGTCAACTCCTAGGTGTGCTGAGCTGGCTTTCTCCCAGTCAGAGGGAGGAGGCCTAGGGTGTCCATTGTCCGGAGTGCTCGGTGTCCAAGCTGTGTGACTGGAACAGCTTGTTATTGATGAAATTCTCTCTCTCTCCTCTCCCTCTCTTTCTCCTCTCTCTTCTCTCCCCCTCTCTCTGTGCTCGGAAGTGGCATCAGGCACAGCATCCTGTGGGCTGGGCTGGAGCTAAAGCTGTCACAGGAGGGGGTGTGGGGCCTCAGGCAGCCTGATGGCTCTGGTGGCTTTTGGAGTTCTCTGAGCAGGTGAACACTGCAAGGGTGTGGAAGGCTCTTCCCTTTCTTGTGTGGATCATGTGTAGAGACAAGAGGCTGAGGACTTCAGAGGTATCTGTCTGGTCCTCCGGCAGACAGGGAGAAGCTAGGAACTGTCCGTGGTTCTGGGACAGAGAAGCACATCTGAGAAGATGCTCCTGTGTAGGTTGAGCAGAGAGAAGCTGGCGATGATGAGGTGGTCCCAGCTGGCTTGTCTGGAAGGTTTAGCTTGAAACTCAAAGGCTCGTTTTCTCTGTGTACAATTACTTCACAACGTGGGTGCAGGAGGAGGGTGTGGAGAGGGGGCGAGCAGCTGTGGGATTGGAAGTCCTGGAGGGGGAGTGTGGAGCTGAGTAAAGAGGAGGGGATGTGGCTCACATTCAGGATTGTTTGCTGGAGGGGGCTGAGAGGGAAGAGTGGGAGCAGAGCTGTCACTGTTAGGCTTCTCAACCCAATTAGTAGACTGCTAGGCATAGCTTGAGTTAACAGGTCAGGCAGCTGCTACGGGCTCCTTCACGCTTCCAGGCAATTATGGGGCATCAGGAACTGTGGGACCCTCCTGTGGTCCAGTGTAGCTGCTCCTCCATAGCTGCCTGGGGGTGGGAAGGAGAGCTTTGGGGGGCTTAGAGTCTTGAGCCCAAATGCAATGACAAGTTAGGAGTAGCAGGTGCAGCAGTTGTCAAAGGTACTAGACTGTGTCATCAGTACTTATTTGGGGTGCTCTGCTTCATTAAGACATTACTTCCCTTTCCCATGGTATAGCCCTTTCCACCCATTCTCAGAGTCACCTGCCTCTTTCCCTGAGGTTCTCTGAGTGCTCCAGTCTGTCTCTGTACTCGCTGTTGGCTCTTACTGATTCTGGAAGAGCCCAGGGTGCCAGGACATTGCCTCTCCCAGCCTGTGTGCTGGAGCTGTTTCCTGGGGGAGCTGTTTTGTATTATCCGTTTTAAACATTCTGAGGAAGAGCACAACCAAACCGGCAGCAGCATTTGCTAAAGATGAAGCCAGTCAGAGCTGGAGGAGGAAGGGACCAGCTCTTCTAAAAGGAGCAAACAGGATCCTAAAATATGTCATGCACAAATGATGTCTGAGGGACTTCAGGGAGAGATGGGGAAAATGCCTTGTTCTTGGAGGCTGAAGCCATCACTGTGTTCCAGCCCATGCTTTCTAGTGCCTGGCAACGCTCAGCCTCACCACCATACCGTGCAGCTCAGAAGTGAACTCAGCTCTTCTTCTGTCTGCCTGCACACGCACAGAGCCCACAGACAGCAGGTGTGGGGTGCCTCAGAGAGGCTATCTTAGGCAGCAGAACCTGGGCTGAGTCTGTAAGCATCCTCACTGTCATCCTCACAACTGCATGGCCAACTGGCAGCTCAGTGTTCATATCCAAGCTGCATTTAGAAATAAAGGTTTGCTGACCTTAGACTGCTCCTTTGCACTTGGTCCACCATTTGAGTTACTGGGGCCCCAGACAGTAAAAGGTCAGGTCTTAAATCCTTACCTGAATCTCTGATCTTCTTGAACGCTGAAGTTGCCCATGGAGAAAGTTTGTTCTTTGATGAATAGCATACCATTATCTATCAACCTCAGCAAGTCCTAGACTCGTCAGTTTGAGTGCCTGCCCTTGGACTGACCCCTCTGTGTATGATTTCTCCAGGCACAGAAAAGGGGTATCCTCTTAGTGTTCTCTTCTGAATATTCAGGGATGTCAGAAGGGTACTCAGTCTAGAAACATGAGAGAAAGCTCCAGGGAGGCTGGTCTTCACCAGTGGGTGACAGTGGAAATCCATACTGAGCCTCTGCTGGAGGCGACACGATGCTAAATGTGTCTCACACCCCACAGTGAGGAGCAAGCCTCTGTCACACCCTGGATTCCCTTTGGCAAGCCTTTGGGGCTGGGGTGTAGGAATGCTTTTCTTTAACTCCCATACCAGCAGCCAGCCCAGGCAGCTATCAGAGAAGCCATCTGCAGCCTTCCTTCTCGTTCGCTCTTTCTGCTACCCATCCCTCTCCAGCGGACTTGCTTACGAGGCCCACACAGAGTTGTACCACTCGGATTGTGCTTTTTTTTCAAGTACTGAAGCTGACTTATTAGAGAAGTTAAGTGTGGGGGGAAGGTCACAGGTGGGTGATTTCTTCTGAATTTGGTATTCTGTAAAGCATACAGAGCAACATTTCCAGGGTTAATGCTGCAGTACCAGCTTCCTTATACCAAGTTCTTAGCTGGTGTGCAATGAAGTGTGTAATATCCTTTAATTAGTGAATGAGCTGTGGTTCTAGCAGAGCAAAAGAAGGTTGTTCGTCTAGACTCAAAGTCCCCAGGAAGCCAGGTGTGGAATGCCAAGTGCTGTGTTATCAAGCATGCCCACGCCCATGCAGGTACACTCTCAACCCTCACAGTCTGGGACAGTCTGACTTCAGAGCATCTGCGTTTTGCTTTCCTGGGAAAGCACAAGTAGGCTTTGATTCTTGGCTATCTATTCAACGAAATGACCCTATTAACCTAGAGTGGAAGGAAGATGGAGTGGGAAATTTAACAAGGCTGTGTCTCTGGCTGTAATATTGAATCATCCTAGTTCAAGGCCAAGAATGATTGACAGAGGACTGAAGATCCCCAACATCTTTGTTTCCTTGTTCCTTAGGTTGGACCTGTGCCTTGCTCTCTAGGCCAGCACGTGCTCATCTCTAACAAGCAGTAGTGACACATGGCCTCTAACCTGTTAGAGGAAGATGCAAGTGGGACAGGATATGACTGTCAGCTGTGTAGCTGTGCGGTGGGGTTGAGAAACAGTTTTTGTGGTCCAGCCTGCCTCTCCTGTTTCCAGGAGTCAGACTGATATGGAATGTTGCAAGGATGAAGGCAGGCGGACAGAAAGGCCACTGCTTTCTGTGTGGACCACTGAGTGAAAGCCCGGCCTCTGGAGAGGGAGCTTCCTAGAACTAAAGTCATGTTGAATTCAGTAGCTGACTATTGCTGTCAGGTGCAACCTCACTGTTTGTGATCAGCACATAACATAACCTCCTGTGGTCTCTTTGCACAAGCACATTGGGGTTCAACTGCCTTCCAGTCTAGGAATGCAAATGACCTTTCCATTTTCACATTTAACCAGATTTTCTTCATTGCATGTGTTTGCGATCTCCGTTTTTTCTCTCTCTTTCCCTTCCTTCCTTCCTTCCTAACTTCCTCCCTCCCTCCCTTCTTCCTTCCTTCCTTCCTTCCTTCCTTCCTTCCTTCCTTCCTTCCTTCCTTCCTTCCTTTCTTTCTTTCTTTCTTTCTTTCTTTCTTTCTTGTCTTTTTTAGATAGGGCCTCCCTGTAGCCCCAGCTGGCCTAGAACTCACTATGTAGGCCAGGCTTGTCTCAAAAATCACAGAGATCTGCCTGTCTCTGCCTTCCAAGTGCTGAGATTAAAAATGTGCACCACCACACCCGGCATGTTTTGTTTTCTTTTGAGTCAGGGTCCCACTATGTAACTCTGGCTGACTTGGAACTCACTATATAGACCAGGCTGGCCTTGAGCTTACAGAGATACTCCTGCCTGTGCCTCCTGAGAGCTAGGATTAAAAGTGTGTACCACTATGCTTGGCATGTTTACACTTTCAGATTTGCTTGACTTTTTTTTCTTAAAAGTTCTCCTAGGAAGAACACTTCCCTGATCCTGTAAACCTGTAGCACATAACATTATAGAGATGGTGGAGGTGGAGATTTAGGAAGTTTGTATCTTTAGGATTTTTTGAGATGGTCGAATGGGTCTATAATTAATCTAGCCTGATTACATCTGA